CAATACCGCACACCCTCGGTCCCTACGCAGACTGATCCAAGTGGTCACCCACCCGCACACTGACCGTAGCCAGTGATGCTTGACTTCGGTGATCTGCTGGGAACCGTGTCTTAACGATCAGTCCACTGCGGGACCCAGGGGATAGATGAAATTTAAAATTTCAACGGCTCTTTCAAAGACCAGTTCGATGCTCGGTCTGCAACCACATTCCACTACAGAATGCCTAATGATGTATTTCGCTCAATCCATGCCATACACTTTCCTAGTCCTTTATGCCCAGGAACCAGTCGGTTCTTGCTCCTGTCACTTTTCATGGATAAATTTCAGGATATTATCCCTCCTAAGCACTTATACAAACATGTCCAAATGTTTAGTGGCTGGCATTCCAAAATTCATGTCTACCATCTCGGGCTCTTGTAATTCCTCTACAGCCATCAGAAATTGAATCAAAACCAATGCCCGCCTATCAATAGGGGTAAATTGGACGACAATGTAACGGTTAAAACTAATTGTGTAAAATAGTTCTCAAAAGAAATGATATCAGAGTCCTCTCTGCTGCTGCTTATATACCCGCTGAGCAGGATGTTTTTGTCAAAATGGTTTCCCCAAAACTAACAGTGGAACGGGATTTCAGAACGAAGTCATCAAGTCTAACAGCTCGTGATGTCAAACGGAAACTCTGTTACCCCAATTATCCCAGAACAGATGCATTTTGAGTGGCAACAGGATGAAGACAGGTTGAAAATGTATTTTAGAACGGAAAACAATTTTCCAAATTATCACAGACCCGATGCATTTTGAGCGACAACAGGATATAGGTGGGCTGAAAACTGAAACCAATTTCCAGATGTCCTGTATCAAAACAAAATCTCTTAAAGGCACGGAATGACAGAAAATATATAGCCAAGCCTATTACTTTGCAAATCCTCCATACTGAAACTATCTGCAAATAAAAATATTGATGGTGCATGCATGTGTGAAATAAAGTCAATAAAATTACAAAATAATTTTTTTATTTACATAAAATTTTTAAAAGTTAATGAACAATACGTTCCATCGGTAGTTGAAAAAGCAGGGAAATGCCACCCGTGACTGCTAACCACTAATGGAAATCTTCCCTACTACATACACACTGGCAGATAGGTTCAACGGTTTTCATTAAGTGAGAGTTTTAATTTGTTAAGCTGGAAGAAACTCTGGTAGCGTGTCCATGATGGCGACCCACTTGCTCTTGGTAATGGTGTGTATGATTATCACATAGGCCACTCGCAGATGAAACAGTTTTTTGAGTAAAATTTGGCTCCGAACATGTCCGTCTATACAGTGGTTCACATATCCATTGATCATGGTGTACCCATTCCATTGCATGCACAGCACGGCAATTAAGTAGAGATGTGAAATATCTTCAGGGCCTCAAAATGTATGGTCTTTTGTCGGGCTACCTTGGAAAGTTTTGACTTTGGTCACCACTTGAGCATTCGCTTTTACTGCATAAGATGATGAGCTGGATGAGGTGCTAGCATCATTGTAGCTTTGAGTATCACTTTTACCGGCAACACGGGAGCTGAATGAATCCATCTTCGCAACACTGGAGCTTTGGTCTTTCTTGAAGTGAAATAAAGTGAAAGACCAACACTGGTCTTTCACTTTTCTTGTAACCACTGGAGTTTGGGGATTTTTTACTTTTCTTGGAACCACTGCAGCTTGGGGGTTTGTAACTAGAACTCGAAGATGGCATTTTGCTAGAACCACTGGAGCTTGAAGGTTTTTTACTCGAGCTTGGAGTCTCTTGACTTTTACTGGAATCCATTTTACTGGACCTTTTGGAACCCTTTCACTTTTACTGTCTTACACTTTTACTGACTGAAAGAAGGCATTTTAGTGGGACAACTGGTGCTGGGAGAAGGCTTTTTGCTGGAACCACTTAAGTTGGTAAAAGGCATTTTGCTGGAACCACTCGAGTGAAACTTGTGTCAAAACTTGGAGAATCATTGGTGGGTGGTTTTCTGGAGAAAGGCATTGGAACCCTTTTGTCAAAGCTTAGAGAATCACTGGTAGGTGGTTTTCTGGAGGAAGGCATTGGAGCCCTTTTACTGGGCATTTTGTCACTGAAAAAATTAATGTCATCAAATTTATGTCAATAGAAAAATTAATGTAATTGGCAAATTTGAAACCAAACTTGACTTTGTCAGCCTTTATCGTTGCATGTGAAACGTTATCTAGGGCACCCTCAAAATTGGGATCAAAGGTAACTTTACCAAAATTTTCTTAAGACCAGTACGATAAGATTGATATCGAAAACGACCATCTTTACATAAGTTTTTATTAAATTCTCCATAGGGAAGGGGCAATGAGACCCTCTTCATACAACATATGCATATACATATTTTTTTTTCAATTCTCCATAGGGACTTTCTTGAAATTTTTCCATGATATGCATATTTACATGCAAAATCAAAAATATTGCGAAGTGATGCAAAAGCAAAATTAGTGTAAAGCCATGCGAAAGCAAAATAAAATTGGGTCAGTAGTTGAAAGCACGAGAAAAAAATTAAACATATTACCTGCTCGAAGCGATCTCCCGGTACCAAACCTTCTTATGTCCCAAAGTTTCCAGGGGAAGGAACAGAATAAACACCTTTAACACTTCAAGGTTTCCAGAGGGTCTGGCAGAGTATTCCAGCAACAAGCAGGAAGCAAAGCTTCACATGTAATAAGCGTATCCAACCCCGTAACGTTGCCAAAGCAACAACTGGTTTTCTCCGTGTTCTGATGCTCTTTATATACTCGAATCTTAGCGAACTCACATCGCCCAGCAATGTCGTCCTATGAGCCCCCTATGGAGAATTAAAAAACCTTATGTTAAGATGGTCGTGTTGGGAATCAAACTCATCGTATTTTTCTAAAAAAATTTTGAGTTAAGTTACCTCTGACCACAATTTTGAGTGCGCCATAGATAGCGTATTACATGCAACTATAAAATTTGACAAAGACAAGTTTTGTTTCAAACTTTTCAATAACATTAATTTTTCCATTTGCAATAATTTGATGACATTAATTTTTCCTCTGGCAAAATTTCCAGGAAAAGGGTTCTAATCCCTTCCTCCAGCAAACCACCCACCAGTGATTCTCCAAGTTGTGTTAACCTTCCAAAGATGATGGGTAAGAAGGAAGCGCAAGAAGAAGATAAAAATTTTAAAACAATTATAGAGAATACTCTGGAAAGAACCGATTTCTGACGACAGAGTGTGCCATATTCTTTCCTAGTAGTATACAACGATCTGCGATTCAGAGCCAGAGCAACTTGTTTCTCAAAGCCATTCGAGAGGATCATGTCATATCCAATCATTTGCTCCGAGTACGTTTATGGAATTTTATACTTCAATGGTTACGTCATCGACGATCATTTTCAAATACGAGAACTGGCGGCAATATCCATGTTTCAGGACTTTTTCATAAATTACAAGTTCAACGTTGGATCTTTGAAAAGTAATAATGATTAATAATGTGCTCAATATTCATTCCACCGAATTCATGGACTGCCCTATTTTCTTAATCCGGGAAAGTTTCCTCTGGAGCAAGAGGGTGCCTTCAACATACTTCATGATGTCTACCTTAAGCTAATGAGATGCAATCCAGGAAAAAATCTTGCTGGCCATCAAGGTGGAAGGAATAGCATTGGTATTACAAAGGATGGGGATCCCATACGTCAATCTGGAGAGATCGGAATGCTCCAGGGATTTTCAATCTCTGGAAAATTGCATTTTTCTTCTGAATCTTTTGGCATCACATGAAAACAAAGAAATTTCTTTGTCTCAATGAAACGTGAAAAACATTTCTAAAAAAATTAAACAAAAATTTCACGACTTTTAAGAATTGAAAAGCATGTCAGGAAATTTATTAAACATGCTTGGCGCAAGCTCATAACCCTCAAGTACGGCAGGCGTGTTCAATTACCTGTGCAATTTATTTCTTTTTTCTCAACCAATATGGGGTCGTTTCACGTTTTTGATTTTTTTGCTGATTGCAACACGGTATCCCGGAATTTTTTGGTTATTATAGTTATAGTTCATTTACGTCGCACTAGAGCTGCACAATGGGCTATTGGCGACGATCTGGGAAACATCCCTGAGGACACAGCAATATTNTCATCACAATTTTGATCCTCTGCAGAGGGGATGGCACCTCCGCTTCGGTAGTCCGACGACCTGCACACGAAGTCGAGCACTTTACGGTAGAATGGTTTAACGAGGACCAATACCGCACACCCCCTCGGTCCCTGTCACACTGATGCAAGTGGTCACCCACCCGCTCACTGACTGCGGCCAATGATGCTTGACTTACGATGCCTGGTAAACCGTGTCTTAACGATCAGTCCACTGCGGGACTGGAATTTTTTGGAGTGACTGTAGAATTTTTATTTCATAACTGCTTTGTAAAGAAATCAAGATTGATGAATATGTGTCTCCTTCTGCTATTAGTCATCAATTAGAAGAAACTTTGTTGCACAATTAAATATAGTCTTAGAAACTTCTCTGAGGAGGATCCAAACACATGCTATCACAATTTCGGTCCTCTGCAGAACAGGTGGCTTCTTCGCTTTGGTAGCCAGATTAACAGTCAGCAAAATCGAGCACTTAATGGAAGAACAGTTTATCAATGATCAATACAGCACACCATCAGTCCTTTCCTAGGCTCATCAAAGTGGTTACCTACCCGCACACTGGTCTTAGCCAGTGATGCTTGACTTCACCGAATTACTGGGAGCCATGTTTAACGTTCAGTTCAGTATTTTCTTCCGGAGTGAGAAACTTTACGAGAAACAGATGACGGAACAATTCGGTAATGTTCTGTTTCAGTTTAAAATCAAAAAAGTTCGTTTTCTTCTTTATTATGTACAAAATCGTATTAATTTAAAAATTGTATTGAGGGGAAAACTCCGAAATTTAAAAAAAAAAAAATAGTTTTTAGGGGAAAGGATTTGTTAACTTTTGAAAATCTGTTAAACGCGTTATATTTTTCTACATTTACGAAACATATTTTGTTATGTTTATTCAAATTTAAAATATACGACTTTAGCAGTACTAAAAGAATATTTTCCCATACAAAAAATTGATAAAATCTTGAGTGAGCAAGGACATCGCAAAATTAAAATCAACAATTATAATAGTTCTTTTAATTTTACACTAAGAAAAAAATTTCAAGACATATTCTTCTATCTACTAAATATCAAAAATAATATAAGTTATTTCTATTTTCAGTAAAGATGAATTTAAAACGATCATAATTTATGAAAATTTCCTTTGAATTGTTTTAGGGAATTCCAATTATTGAGAAAGACACATACTCATTGCATTTCTCACTCCGCAAACGGTGACGTACGGTACATCATTGTATGTGTGGTTTTTCCGGTTAAACTACTGGATCAGATGCCCTTGAAAAGTGAAGTGTTAGTACTAGAGAGGGCTGAAAATATAATTATATTTTATAAATATATATAAATATATTTATTAAAAAAAGCCACACATTTTAAATGTATGTTATATAAATATTGGCTTCGCGCGCAGGTCGTCGGGCTACCGAAGCGGGGGTGCCATCCCCTCCGCAGAGGATCAAAATTGTGATGGCATGTCTTCGGATCATCCTCCGGGATGTTTCCCAGACCGTCGCCAATAGCCCATTGTGCAGCTCTAGTGCGACGTAAA